CAGGGCCAATAAGGTATCATTTTCAAGGTAAAATTTAGTACTCAACTAGTTGGTTAGCCTACCCTTAATGATAGGGGACACTAAGTAACTATTGTTAGCCAATAAGGGCAAATTACTTTTATTCTGAAACTTTTCAGAATATGCTGACTTCTCAACACCTATCCAAAGAGTTCCTATCTCATTTTCCAAAAAAACATTATTTTAGTTTTCTTACTTTCATAGCTAGAGTGAATTTTTCATAATAAAATACTATCACAGGATCATGTCAAACAAACATGGATTTGGGGGAGGTGATGTTCGAGTAATTTTGCATAATACTAATGTTATTTATTTTGGATTTCAGGAATCAAGACATCAGAGAGGATTGGACCCACTCTATTAGTTTACACGGATAACAAACTCAGGAAGGACAGAGTCGTCAGGGACTATTAAGAGCAATATTGAAGAACAGAGGCCACCATTGTTCATCGCAGCTCCTCCTATTAATATCACCCAGTAGTGATCATTTAACCAACAGCTGTGTTCTTTATATTAAAAGTCTGATAGTAATAACATCCCTTCTTCTTAGACTATATCCACAAAATGCAAGTTTTGCAACATATTACTAAGGATTCAGTGAAAGAAAAAAAAAGAAAAAACATTTCATGTTTTAAGTTGAGAAATGCTGCTTTAAACAGGGTTAAACACCGTTTTGTTTTGTTTTACTGCAGGACTTCTCAGAGCTTTTAATAAGCTCATGTGCACTATGAAGCCCTATGATATGACTTTAGTATAGAGCATTTCCAGGTTTATTGGACTCTAGACTCTTTTAGAGAGCACCCATTCACATTTCATGCAATACGGCTAAGTGCCACCACTTGGGAAATGCTACATCTATGGCCTCAGCGATGGTGTGCATGTGTGACTGGTATTAACTGGCACAATCATAAAGGTCACACTGTATGGTGTGTTTCTTTCCTATTGCTACTATAACAAATTACCACAACCTTAAGTGGCTTAAAACAACACTAATATATTACCTTATAGTTCCATGTGTTAGGAGTCTGACATGGGTCTCACTGGGCTGAAATCAAGGTGTGGACATGGCTGCACTCCCTTCTGGAGGTTCTAGGAGAATCTGTTCCTTGCCTTTTCCTGTTTTAGAGGCTTCCCACTTTCCTTGGTTCACTACCAGCTCCTCCATCCTCAAAGCTAACAATATTGCATCTCTCTGATCATTCTACTGTACTATCTCTTCCTGACCACAGACAAGGAAAGTTCTCAGCTTTTAAAGATGCCTATGATTAAATTAGGCCCACTTGAATAATCCAGGATAATCTCTTCATCTCATCGTAGGCAAAATCTCTATCTGCCATGTAAAATAACAAATTCATAGATTCTAGGGATTAGGGTTTGGCCCTCATTGAGAATCATTACTCTGCCTTCCACACATGGGTTGGTAAGAATACCTTAAGAGTTCTGGCCAGCAAACAAGGTCAAGGAATAAGAAAGAGAGCAACTATTCCCATTGTTTGTTTGTTTATTTTTTCCCGACTTATTACTTACAACATCACAGTATCAGGGAAATCAAAATTATTGTCTGATTAAGGATGTAGAATAGTAAACAAAACATGGAACATGTTCCCAGGCACCAAGAACTTGGTTCTGTCTTCACAATGTAGAGAAGAGAGCACCAGTGCTTTGGGAATCAGATTCTCCACAAACACAGCCAGCCGGCCCCTCAACAGTATGGGCATGACTCTGCAAGTCGTGCATTTTCCAGAAAAGGTACATATCTCTAATCAGCTTTATTGAAGCTTTCCTTACCAAGGGACCATGCATTCATTACCTCCTATGACATAGGTAATAATAACTGTCCCATTTTACAGGTGAGAAAATGAATCCTTCTTATGGTTATGTGAGTTGACAAGATCTTGCTTTTATCAAACTAGTAAAAAGTACATATCTGATTCCAAAGCTCAAGTTCTTAATCCTATGTAACACTCTGTCTCCTATACATTGTCCCCTTCTCTATCCCCAACCCAAAGTCAGTTCTTTCCTATCTCTATCTGATCTGAGGGTCTACATCTGCGGTTCTAGGAGTGTGTGTGTGTGTGTGCGTGTGTGCACGGGCACACACGTGCACTCGTGTGTGCTTGCACTCATGCATACACGTTCAGTAATTCTCTTTCTGTCACTTATATCTTCATGAGGCTTTAGGCCTTGAATACATGTCTTTCTGTTCTCATCTCCGACCAGATACGGAGACCTCTGGGTCAGAGGCTGGAGATGTCATGAATACATGCCTTACAGTGATATCTAGTTTCAAACTGGGGCTAGGTCATGAACTGTGAAGTAACTTGGCAAGTCACTTGATCACCATGAACTTCATTTTCCTCCTCTGCAAAAGATTGATAACAATATCTGCTTCATAGGACCATTGTAAGAATTAAAAGAGATGATATATGTAAAGCATCCAGTAGATAATAATCACATGATAAATTATAGTTGATACTATCATCATCAATTCCTTGCTACGTTTACTTGCATAAATGTGCTAGTCAAAGTTCTCGTCTCTATGACAACAGGCTTACTGACAATGTCTACTTGATCAGTGACATTTGTACAAGCAACAACCATAGTTAATTCACCTCCTATTGTTAAGGTGTGGTTCATGCTACTCAAAACAATTTTCTTCTAAAGGGCCGTGCCTGCCTGGAGAACCGGGGCCTGAGACTTCTTGAAATTTGCTAATCACATCTGGTTTAGCTTTAGACATTTTCTGGGGTTTTGCCAGCAGCCACGACATTTTAATGGCTACAATAAACCTCAAAGCCTCATCAAATCTTTGCTGTATGTGTGAAAATTATGTCCTCTTCAATTAAACATTCAATCTAGGCTCACACCAAGGCCTTATGGAAAAGGAGGTGAAACCTGAATGGGAGCGTGAGATGAAACGGACCGCCACGACTCTGGCCATCTTGCCAGATGGTATTTAGAAGAAAAAGAAATTCATTAGAGAACCAACGGTCAGTATTTTCTTTAAATATTTACTAGATACCTTTCATGTGTTAAAAACACTGGCATCTCTCAAGATTAGCAGGGCGTTTTTGTTTAAATATTCAATGTGTGCGGGGAGTCCCAGCTTCCCCCTATGCCTTTGTGGGACTTGATGTCTTTGGTGAAGTCCAAGACAAAGAAGAAAAATAACTGGGGCAATGTTCAGCTTTCCTTCATGAGGCAGCTCCTCCAGCTCCAGAAGTTCTTGTATTTCTTTAAAATTGACCGGGCAACTGTCAGTTGAGTGCTGAGAGATCTGGAACTACACTTAGGATTTCCCTAGAGAAAACATGTGCCCAAGTGGGGAGCTATGAGGGAACCCCTGCCCCACCACTGTCCTCCTAAGTCACTCTTATCTTTTTATTATTCATCATCAAACACAAGGATGTCAAGGGGAGGTAGCCAAGCTAGGATGCCTGCAAGAAGCAGCCCTCGGAAGGAAGGCAGGAAAAGAAGAAAGATCAAACACAGATTAGGTTTCTGCTCAAAAGTCTACATGAGAGGGCAGACCGAGGGCTTTACAACCAAAGGGCTAAGAAAGAAGAGGGGATGGGCATTCAGGAAAAGCTATGGAGAAAACAAGCTCAGGTCTTCTCTGCCATTGCTAACCTTGCAGCCATCCTGAGGACGGGCCTGGGTTCTGCCATTAGAAAGGGACAGAAAAAACTGCTCCGTGATGGCTTACTCTGTATTTTTACAATAAGAATCGAGCTCCTCATTGTAGACAGAGACAAAAGTGCCAGTTTTTTAGAAAAGGGAAAAGAATGATCACAAGTTCACATATCACGTTCCTGAATGAAATATCCATTTGGTGGAATTCTTGCTTTCAACCACATCAACAGGAGAAAAAAAAAAAATCCACATGTTCCCTTAAAAATAATATACAAGGTAAAAATATTCACTTGTAACAACTATACTTATTTAAGCGAATTTTATGCCCAAAGTAAAAATACATGGCTTTCCTTGCCACCGGGAGCATATCTTTCCCACTTTACTTCCATTTCCAAGCTGTTCTCTGTCTAAGACTTAGGTTTCTGAGCACTCTTTCACAATAAACATTTTTAAAATGTTTATTTTATGTCTTAGTGTAAAAATATTCCTGGTTCAGGCTCTTCATTTCCTCAAGCTCTCCTTTTGGCACTCTGGGCTCCATTTCCACATTAACACGCTCCCTAAATCCTCTGTAGAGCTCTTCAATTGGAGTTATACAAGCTCCAAGGCAAGTATTTATATTCTTGGACAAGGAGATGTCTCCACAGTGAAAACACAAGACTCTAGAAATGCCAAAGGAAAATTCTTGCCCAAGAGAGACATATTTTCACCTTTTAAAAAAGCCAAAAAGGGCTTTCAGCATTTTGTTTTGAATAATTAAAAATGTAAATTAAACTAAAATAGAATGTTTACCTTGGGTCTGGCCATCATTATTAGACTCATATACATAAACCAAATATATAAGGACACACTTGTGTGTGATATATAAGTATAGTAAACTAGCTTAGAAAATGCATGAGTTCTAATCACATAGACCTGATTAGAGCTCAGTAAATCTGCCTCTTACTGGCTGTGTGAACATAACTTCTCTAAGCCTCATTTTTCTCAACTGTAAAATGGAGTTAGTATAGTTCCTGCTTATTAGGATTATTGTAAGAATTATATGAGACAACAGTAAGCATTCAATAAAGTGTTGCTGCAACTATTATTATTAAAGTTCTATCTATCAAATGTTGGAAAATTTAGATATCATAAGATATAGATAGCACAAATGGTTAACACGAATAAAAGAGAAGGATATGTAAATACAACACCCCCAAACAGTGTATAGAGATGGAAAGTATCAGGAGGTCTGTCGCGTACCATAATTGAACTCTGCACCAACTCTGTTCCGTGAGCCAGACATAAATAAGCCTTTTAAATCATTAAAAAAAATCTTAGCTATTATATAATACAACAGTTCCTTTTACCTTCTAGTTGCCTCTTCAGTTTTCTCAAATCTTTTATGAGGTCTTCAAACTTGACTTGGGAGGCCAGAAAGAAATCTTGTGGTTCAGGCAGGGGGAAAACGCTCTTTTCTGTTCCTGCTTCCTAAAAAACATGGTCAACAAAACAACATTATACTTCCCAACTGTCCCTTTCAGTTGAAATTCCAAAGCATCTTCTATCGGATGTTCGAATAAGAATCATAGCAATGCTCCTCTGCTATTCCTAAATTGGGACTGGTTACTTTGAAATGTTTTTGAGCCTTTCACAATATCATTTTGGTCTTATTGGCATTGAGGTTGGCTATGGCTATGGCATAAGCTAGCTTCTATTTTGCCTCATGAATCAAAGATAAAGTTATCAGGTATGTCCTGATCTTGGAACTCTACTCCCACGGAAAAAGGCATAGGAGTAACACATGAAAATACTTAAAGTGAAAGGCCCTGCTTGAGTTTCACATGGTAGCAATTAGATAACTCATCTTTGGGGTATGCCAATGGGTGTGAATTGGAAGGTGCTGGATAAGGCAGCACTACAATGGAAGAAACAGTCACCCTCCCTTACACCTATACCCACCTTCCTCTGCAGCTTAAAGCTCATGTGTGTGTGTGAGATCAAATTCTTCACATATTTGTAAAAATTTTCCAAATGCTGTTTGACTTATCTCAGCAGATGTTTACTGAGGGCATGGTTGGGTATCATTTTTGACAAGCTCCACAACTAAACCCAACAGAGGATCTAAGCTGAGAAACATCTTGAGGGACAAAGCCTTCAGGCACATTGAAAGATAAGCTGAGCCTCAAATGTCTTTTCCAGTCTAGCTTGCTTTCTCCTGAGTTGTTTAACATCAGCTTTGAATCTCACATCTCTCAGGCAGTCTTAGCTTATTCATCTCTCCACATAGGCTACTTGGCCAGCTTTCCTTCACATTCCATCTTTCCTACTGCCATTAGGACTAATTCCAAACTCTAAAACTGCTTTACAAGGCACTTTATGATCTGGCCTCTGTCTCCATCTCCAGCCTGATTTCTACCTTCTCCCTATCTCTAACTCCCTCCCCTAAACTCTCATAAATTAATAGAACAGGCCACAATCTCTTGCCTCTAGGCTTTTGTCTATAAAACTGTCCCTTTCCAATCCTTCCTCAGAACCTCCTCACACCTCCTTGTTCATACTTATCCTTCAAGTCTCAAAACAGGTATCACTTCCTCTAAGATTTCCCCTGAGTCCCAGTACTTGGATGTTTCCAAGAGCCCCTGGTACTTACCATTATCACAGCAGTTATCAACATGAATTTAAAAATTGCCACATTAGCTTGTATGCCCTTCCCACTAGACTATAAACACTTTGAAGGCAGGAACTGTGTCTTGTTCTTGGTACAGTATACTACATCTGGCACATCAATACATTTTGTTTGGTACCATTATAGACAGCCTATAAAACACTGTTCTGGGAAGTTTGTATCTTTATTTATTTATTTTTTGTGAGGAAGATCAGCCCTAAGCTAACGTCTGCCAATCCTCCTCTTTTTGCTGAGGAAGACCGGCCCTGGGCTAACATCTGTGCCCATCTTCCTCCACTTTATATGGGATACCTCCACAACATGACTTGACAAGTGGCGCATGGGTGCGCGCCCGGGATCCGAACCTGCGAAACCCGGGCCGCTGCAGCGGAGCGCGCGCACTTAACCACTTGCGCCACCGGGCCGGCCCCGAAGTTTGTATCTTTAGCAGGGGACATCTAACTTATCAAATCTTTTGTGGTTTCAGGAATTCTCTGGACCATTCCCCTTCCTTTAAGACCTTTAGCTTCACCTGGAATACCAGAAGGCAGTTTTCATCATTTGATCAGAAAAACATTTTACGTGATTGATGCACTTTTTTTCGTCTTCCTATACTTATTTTACTACTTTAAACACAATGGAAGCAGTACCCTAGTCTGAGTGCCAGGATGGAACAACATCTAAGATGCTTGCCACAAAACTCCACAGTAATTGACCCTGGAGAGCTCATGCATAATATCTCTTTTTATTTTCCAAAACTTTTTATCAGATTCACTCCTGCTTGGCTTCAATTTTTTTTTGTTTTTTTTTTTGAGCTAGAAAAAAAGAAAACGCTGCTGAGCAAATCAGCCTGGTAGTAGCTCTTGTGAAAGTTGCTCAATTAGAGTTCAAAAGACATGGCTCCCGATGGGTTTCCATAAACTGCACAGATCTAGACTTGGACCAGCAACCAGGCACAAGTGCAAGGAAGCTTGGAGCAGGAGTCACCTTTCTTCAGCTAATTGCTCATCACCACTAACCACAAAAATCATCAATTGGGCTCCTAAAGGGAGGGGATAGTTTAATAAATCACAGAATTCTACACCCTTGTTGAGTGAAATGCATTTTGCACAGTGAAAACTGGGAAAGCACCACACAAATGTTGACTTCTTATTTTTGCTAAACCGGGCCATCCCATGTTTGAAATTATGCTTATTGTAAGATTTTCCTCTGTGAAGTCGACTCCACTGGCTTCAGCTCTCTTCGGTGAGAGCCATATACCACAGGCAGATTTCTGCCTTCCTACAGGATGCCTCTGACTTGGTTGAGGCAGACATTACAAGATAAATCTGCTCATGCTACCCTTGGATTAGAAACGTCACCTCTCAAGATTCTTCAGGTTAATTCTTCTGCCATACTGGTAGCTGCCATCAGAACTTCGGGTATGTGCATATTGCCTGAAGCTCAACACGCGTGCCCCATTCTACCAGAAAAGAGCTCTCCCTTCCTCGCACCTAGTTCTTTACAGATGCCACTTATTACATTCTTGTGGGTATTTACAGTATATTCAACTCAGCAAGTATTTATAAGGCACCTACATTGTAGACACTAAAAAAAAGAGACAACAGTGAGTTCTGGACCTCAAGGAGCAAGGCCAGCATAATAGGTAACTGCTCCTAGATATCTATACACAAGGTAGAATAAGATGTATCATGAGAGAGGTTCAAACCAAGTGTTACTGGGCTTCAAACGAGTAAAAGATGAGGAAGTGAGCAAAGACTTCATGGAAGAAGGGCCAATGTAAGATTGCACTATTTTTTATTGTATCTTTTTCCCCTTTTACAAAAGTGACATGTTCATTACATTCAGTAATTGAAAGAAAAAAGAAAGTAAAAATCTCTTACAATCCTACCATCCAGAAATAAGCAAATATTTATATATATATATATATATATATATATCCTTCTAGGTTTTCCTGTGTGTTTATTTATATGTACATAATTGAGATTATACTACATATTATTTTAACAGATTTGCAATTTAAAAGCAGATCAAGAGTATTTTCCAATGCCACTAAATTTTCTCCTATACACCTTCCATGGCAGTGTATTACTCCATTTTATGACTCTAGCATAATTTATTTGACCTTAGTCCCTACCTTTGGACATCTACCAAAAACTCTGCACTATTTTGCTGTTACAAATTATTATAAATAAAATGATATGTTCTTATTTATTTCCTTAGGATAAAAATTCCTAGAAAGTTTACACATATTTCTAGAGCTTTTCATACGGAATGGTCAAAGCCTTGCTAGCCCATAGAGCACATCTGCATGCATTAGGAAAAGGTGTCCCCTGTAGGTAGGCACAGCTCCATGGGCAAACAGCTTGACGTCTTCATGTGAGTTTTTTTTAAAGGTGCCTTTTATAGGACATATAGTTTGGTGAGTCAAGGGCAGACTAGATATGGGCTCCCTTTGACCTCGAGATCTTAAACAGAGAATAACTCAATCATCCATACATGGTAGTTCTGAGAAAGGTTTGATCAATTTTTATTGCTAATTCTATGTATCTAGTTGGCAATTCGTATCTTCTATTTGTCTTTTGTAAATTACCTGTGGTCTCTTTTGCCACTTTGTTTTTTTTTATGAGAAGGGACAAGTTGTCCTTTTCTTATTGATGCTGAAGAGCTCATTACCTATTGTATATTGCAAATATATATATTGTTACTGGGACCCTTTTCCTGAAAGGACTTTTATTATTATTTCAAGAGAGTATTAATCATTAAAAAGAGAAGTTTTATAAAAAGGCTGGTGACAAGGATAGTTCCAGTTAGGGAGAACAGCAGATGTGAAAACACCTCAGAGTAAGAAAGCACAGGGTGTGTTTGGAAAACATCAAGTCTTGAATTGGATCATAGAACACGTGTAGAGGGAAAGTAATAACAGCGTGGTTGTAAAAGACTGGAATTAAATTGGGTAGAATCTTAATTCACTTGAATATGGGGAGATATTTCTGCCTTTGAGTAAAACAGTGATGGGATATGATCGGAACTATAAAAAGTAATCAGGCCACAGGGTGTGGGATGGACTAGAGTGGGAGTAACTAGAGGTGGGGAGCCCAGCCCTGAAGCAATGGCAATTCTCTAGGGGAGGTATCTTAAAGCCTGAATGAACTGGATTCAGTAGGGATGAAAAATAGGGAAGAACGTGAGAAACACTTTAGTTGAAGGACAGAGAGGAACCAAAAAGAAACACAAGCTTCATGTCTGAAGGACCAGAAATTATTATGTCCTTAATAGAAACAGGGGAGCAGTTCGAGGAGGGGGCAGGGGAATGATAAGCCTGGCTGTCGATATACTGAGAACAGTTAGATAAGCCCACCAGGAGGGTAGGAGAGATAACTATAGACTTCATCAGTGTTGAGCTTGTTTTCTGTATGAAATTGTAAGCCTTTTGAAAACAAGGCCCTGGAATCTTGACTTTTCTTCCCTCAGTGCCTAGGAAAAATTCTGCCTACGTGGATAGCTAAGCAAGAGTCCTGACAACAATTTCCTGAGACTTTTTCCACTCATATTGACTGCTCGATTTCTCAACAACTTACAACAGTACCTCTTTCTTCTCAGAGTTAGGACTCCTTGTTCTCAATTTAATGAGAAGGAATAAAACACAGAAAATTGTGCTCAGGTGGATTCTCAGAGCAATTTTTATTTCTAATTGCAAATGAAATCTAAGCAGAGAGGATGGATTTCAAATTCCATATCTTCAACTTGTTCACAGATGAATATTACTTATAAAGTATTGGGTATTACTGCGTCTTACTTTCCTAAATTTTGGTCTGTATCCCAGAATCGAGTTTCAAATATAACCAATTACTGAATGGATATAGATTTCACAGAGGCCCTCACAATCTGGTCAGAAGGCACTGAGATAACTGAGGGTCTCTCTGAAGCTGTGTTATAATGGGGACTGAGAGTCAACAGATTTGTACCACTGAATAAAGCTTCTCTTTACAAGAGTCAGCTAAACTCTCTTAGCTTCAGTGTTCCCGTCTGTAAACCAAGGAGGCTGGAGAGCTCTCAAATTCTGTGTTGGACTTGAAATTCATCCATTCATCCATCATCCAGTTTCTGAATGCCAACAATGTGTAAGAGTTGAAACCCCATTAGTGTACTTTTCCACATAATGCCATTTCTTACCTGATCGTAGTAACGCAGGTAATATTTCACGACATAGTCCACCAGATTAATCCCGTTATCCTAGGTTTAAAAGAGAAGCTTAAATGAAAATCATTCACATGAAACCCTGCCATACTATATAGTTGAGAGCTGAAATCTCAGTTTGTGGCCCTAATACTTTTAATTTGCGATACTTGGTCCTAATTCTATTTGGTCAGATTTTCCTCTCTCCTCCTGATCCCATCATTTTTTATGGCATCTATACAAAGAAATGACACTACACTATTTTTTGTGAAGAAAAGAATCAAACAGATAATTCAGAGGACCTCTGAGGTAATGGCTAAAACAAACAAACAAAAAACACTGTCTCAATATTTTCTGGCATAAAGCCAAGACAGGAGGGGGCAGGGGAGTGCTAAAGGCAACCAGGGACTAGAACAGAAAACCATCTCTCCCTTCCCACCTTTCAGAAAATGTGTGTTCTTAATGGCGTGAAAAACAATCAGGGCAGCTTAAAAGGAACGCCGTGCCACTTTATGACCCTGGCAGGCCAGGGGCGAGCAGCCCTCCCACAAGGCAGCCTTTGTGTCTTGTTCACATGGGTCTAATTCTAATTTGCCTGCGTGTTTCCCCTCCCTCCACTCCCCCTGCCCCCCATGGGACGCCTAGATATGGGTTGGTTGTTTCTAAAGAGGTGGCTCTGCAGGGGTGTGGAGCCAAATGATAATCAGGCTCAGAGAGTTTGACAGGAGACCCCCAGCCCAATTGTTGTGGGCAAAAGAATAATTCAAATGCTCAGCTCCATTGGCAATTCAACTTTGCTCCCTGCTCAAGAACGAGTAAATGACAAGCAGCCAACATTAACTTCAAACAGACTCAAGCCTTGTCCTATGGCTAATACTATACACTATCTGTTTTATTCTCTCATTACAGTTCAACATCTAATTGCGTATTGTAGAGCAAAAAAATATTGGGGATTTTGTCCTCAAAATAAGATCAAGCATGAAAAACCTATCAAAAGTCAAAAGAAAGCAAAGAAAAATATGTATTGTTAGGGGGAAGACAGAGGTGAATGGAACAACCAGGCATACTTTTTTTTAAAGGTATAGAAGGAAAATAATGGCAGATTATAGACATTCATTATGAAAAATAAATAAATACCCGACTTTTGACGTCCTTGAGTTTGGGCAGGATTTCTAAGCTATATCCATCTGCTTGTCCTCGAGTTCTATTTCCTCCATTCATATAATTTCCAAAAGCCAGAATGAGAGCTAAAATATCCTTCACACTCTTCATATGCAGCAAGCCCTGTGATGGCAAACACCAATGATTATGAAGCTGAACTCCGAATGTACCTATGTTCATTCAACAACAAATATTTAGTGAGTACCCAATAGGTTGTTTGGTGGCATGATACCAACAAGATTTAACAGTTGGTAAAATGGAAAATGCACTTTATTAAGCCATAAGTGTCTTAAAAAAATATATTAACTGCCATCATATTCTATCCTTTCAATGAATTCCAAACTACTTGTTTTAATATTGAAGATTAAATATTAGTATTTATATTTCCATTGAGCCAGTTTCAGATTTTTTAAATACTTATTTTAACATATTTATAAATTGAAAAAAGAGAGTTGTTCGAGTTAGGCTTCACACTTGACGACTTCTAAGTAGAAAGAGGTTTAATATCATTGGAGGATCTGTTTTTGGACTACGTAGCTACATAAACAGCACAGTTAAGCGTAGGGTAGATATAATAGCAAGTCTATTCTTCCTCTTCTCTGGGTATAACCCTCAGAGGTGAACTACAATAATGTATTTCAAGGCCATAGGCTATGTTTATTAAGTGTTTGCTGATATGTCTATTAACTTTCACAATTTCAAGCCCCTTAGGGTTCTCTTCAGCTCCCCATCTCATTTGCTTTTCCTTTTTTTTGCTCCAAGTGCAAATTTTCAAATTGATACGTTTTTCCTTTTTCTACAGTCTTAGTGGATTTTATTTTTCTTTGTTTTAGGGTAAGGAAAGAAAGCCAAATGCAGCTCTAGGCCGACTTCTGCTCCTGCTTTTTAGGGTGTTATTAGAGGGTGATATTATACTTTGGTAATATTTATGCTTTCTTTGTTGAAATCTTTTATGTTTTAGAAGGAAAAAATCATGCCTTCAGATAAGCAACTAAATACTACAGAATTTGTGGAGAGGATTATCATGTTCTAAGGACCTGGGTCATTGTGAGAAAAAGCCAAGTGCTAGAATTTAACTTTATAATGAATACCAGCACGGTAAAGCCAACAAAAATGATTATGATAATGAGTGATGGGCAAATAAATTTATTTTATTTATCAAATCTCTAGAATCTTCCTGTTTCACTTTGTAGACACATTTTAGATGATCAAATGCACGGATCTAAAGTGAAATCTCCTTTGCAATCCAGACAGTCGAGTGCAAAATAAACTATACTATTTAGATTGGTTTTAAGTGACCAGTATATACATTGGAAGGTATCTGGAATACTTAAGAAGAAATCTGTAAAAGTGTCATTTTCTTCCTCCTTCTCCTTCTGTCAGTCTGCATCTCCTCTTCTCTCTCTGTCTCACACTCACTTATCTACACACACACACATACTCATACTTAGGCAGGATAATCATCCCAGCTATACTTAGAAAAACACACAACCTTAAGTCCAAAAGCTTTTCCGCAAAGGGACTCTAGTTGATCTCTCTCATTCCCCACTTTCTCCTTTATCCCCAGTAAAGGAACAGCTATCTTTTAAAATTAGACAGCAAACATACCTTAGAAGCTCGTGTGATGATCTCTACCTTTCGGTGCAAGGAGGTAATACCCTCAGAAAAGACAGATCTGAAGATTATGCACTGGGCACGTTCAGCAAAATTAGGGATCTGGGCTAACTCGTGTAAAAATCTGTAAAAATTAAGAATGAGTCATCTAGCTTCATATACCATCACAAGGAAAACAGAAAGACAGCTGAAAAAGATCCATCATGAAAGCCTTCCTTAATTGACAATGTCAATTTAACAATTATAAAAAGTATCAGATAGGCAGATGTAAGGAACTCCAAGGGTATGTGCTCTACTGTTGACAACAAAGCCATTTTTTACGGGTTTCTATAACGGTAGATGAATGTATGGCATATAAATTACTTAAGGAACAGAAAGTTAACCCAATTCTACTGAACCACAACAAGTTATCTATCTCCTGCTACCCAAACTGAAGACTAAACCCAAATGAAAGGCATTAATCTTTAGTGTATGAGAACAAATACTCAATAAACTCCCTTTATAATGCAGCATTTTCTAAGGGTGTATTTACACAGGCTAAGTAAAGTGAAGACTTGAGGCAAATGTCTGTAGACAAGAGATAAAAGTCTCTTACTGAAGTGAGATCACTATTATTTTTGCTCAATGAATTAGATGATTGTCTATAATGACCCTATTCTACAGATATTTGTTTACTTTTCCACATCACCTTACCTACACATACAGAGTTCATAGCTCTAAGCTGGAAACAAAGCAGGCACTCATTAAAGTGGACACAGCCTCAAGTTGCTTAAAAACTACGGCAAGACAGATCTTACAGGCTCAAGGTGAGTAGTAACCTACACACAGAAGCTCACTGTCTGAGCAGCTGGGCACTGGTGCCCTTTGCAAAATTAAGTTGGAAGAGCTGTGTACTCTCCAGGCCAACCACCAGAGGAAAGAATATAAACTAAAATGGGTGGAAAGAGTTGGACATAAATGCAGAAAAGGAGAGAATCCACTAACAGCTATTAAATTCATTTTGGGGTTGAAATGATGATTAACTGATATTTCTGAAAGTCTTGGTCAACACAGAACATCAGTACTTTGACATTTTGCAACCTCTCACCAAGAATGCTTTTACATAGGAGCAAAGCTGGCACCTCCTTCTTTCCATTTCCAAAGAAATTTCTTATACCAGCTAGCTTAGACCCCGTGCCTCTTTTACTTTACTTTTAGAAAGATTTGGGTTTTAATGAGATTCTAATTATTAGCTGTTTTTCTTCTTTTTCCTACAATCAGGTCATAATTCTTTTTTATTTTTGGAGAAGAAGATTATCTCTGAGCTAACATCTGTGCCAATCTTCCTCTATTTTGTATGCAGGACAGTGCCGCAGCATGGCTTGATGAGCGTTGTATAGGTCCGCACTTGGGATCCAAACCCACGAACCCCAGGCTGCCAAAGTGGAGTGTGCAAACGTAACCACTACGCCACCGGGTCGGCCCCATTTTTTTTTTTAAATGACACTGAGATGAAGCAAACAATGTCCTTAAAAGATAACACACCTTTGTTTTAAAGTTCTATAACTCTGATCATTATAAAACCCATGGGGTATAAAAGTAGAAATGCATAGGAATTCTGAATTAGGACAAGAATAAAAAATGACACTTTATATGTAAATAGTTTCTTCATAAAATTAGTATTAAACCATTGATTGATTTATGACTGAAGTCAGGGGTATCCCCAGTTTTCAGAAATGTGAACAGTGAAAAGCTTGTGGGACTGGTGGTATTTGGTACTGTGGTGAATCCTGGGAAGTTTTACTTATTCAGATGCTGCTGAGAGTTACCTCAAGGGTAGAACCCTGAATTTCTCCCCTTCCAAATGTGACCATGGGACACTATCCCCCAAGGAGGACCCACATCCCCGGAGTACGTACACTTCCTAGTTTAAATGAACATAGTGAATGAAGCATTTATGGAGACTCTGTGAGAAAATATACAGATCAACATCTCAGCTCAGCAACAATGACACAGATGAAGAGGAGGAAATGCTGGATGAACAATTACTTATAACTAGCCTCAAAAAAGGAGGTTTAGGATCAATATGAGGAGAGAAGCCCACAGGCTCACCAACTTAACGTTACCCAGGAGAGAGTAAAATAGAACTGCAAGGCTCTCTAGGACTACAGCCTTACTGGGATTAGGGCCTGCACTAGGAAGGCTCAGAGAATCTTAAAGACCCGATGTCCTGTGCACGGAGAAGGGTCTGAAACACATATCCAGAGTTGGAGGGGAAGGGAAGTTCAAGAAGTTTACATCACTTTTGGATAGAACTGTAGGGAATGTGTCACTGAAAATTAATACCAGAGCGTCAGTCATCAAGAATTTTAGTCAATCCTGTAGACAAGTGTGAAGCATTTACAGTGTGTTAGGCACCACGTTAAGACCTGAGAACAGAACGTAACTTATACACAAATCCCTCTTGATAACCCGAGAAATAAGTCAACAATTCCCATGAAGTGTGATAAGTGCTATCAGGGATGGGGCCTATAATAGAAGCTACAGAAGTCACAAGCAGGGCATCGAGGTCAGAGCCTTGGGGGGACAACGACGGCCAAGGTTTCCTGGGCTTGTACAGGACACACAGGAGAAACTGCCAGGGAGAGCCCAGACAGGTTAAATGATATATGCGGGGGAGCTGAGTAGAAGTCAGATGCTAAAATGCGGCTTTGTGTTTTAAAATAGTTTCAACTTTCTCTGAACAAATAAAGGATATTAAACAGAGAAGTGATACTTTCAGCTTTTTGTTTTAGAAAATCGCATGGCAGGGGCTTGGCTGACGGATTGGAGGTGAAAGTAGACTTGAGGCTGGGAGACGTAGTCAACACAGCTGCAATATTCTAAGAGGGAAGGTAAGAGGACCTGCAGTGTGAATGGGGTGGGGGACAAAGAGATGAGAAAGCTTTTAAGGCAGTGAGAACTGGAGTAACTGACCAATCCCGAGGGACGCTGAGAAGAGTCCAGGATGATGTGTAGGTTTTTGGCTTGGATATCTGGTGGAATGCAAAGATTTGAAATACTGGACGAGCAAATTTGGAAAAAATATGATTGTATGTCCAAAAATAGCCATGCAAAGGCTTGAGGAAGAGCACCATAGCTCCTTCCCCGTTTATCTGGGAAAGTACCAGAAGTATAAGTAACCTCAGAGGCTGTGAGGTAACTGTCTGATAAATATCTTATCCTCCCCACCCCCGCCCCCCATAATTGTGTTTTACACTCTACCTATAGGGGTAGAGATAAGAACTCTCTTTCATATCCCCAAGGATAGGTCTTGGACATTGGGCCTTGGTACTTACAAACATTTATAGGTTGATTTCCTTTCAGACTAGTCTAACTTTATACTCTAGGGCCAGTAATAGAGAGGATTAAAGACCCCTAAAGAAGCCACAAACCAGGGACCCTTCCCTTCTTTCCCCAACGCAGGTTTATATCCCCAAGAAGGACTACAACTGTATCTAGGAGAGAAGTTCTGTACCTTACATCGTGTGGGTGACACATCCACTCAGCTGACAGGTGGAATGATGCAACATGGCCCACTGTTTTTAAGGGACTAACATTTGGTTTATCATCCTCCAAACGCCTGAAAGGTATTACCTCAGGTGTGTGTGCATACAAGGGATGTGTACACAGCACAATTTCATGTTGTAACCTGTGTTCTTCCATAGAGAAGTACACTAACAAAGCCTTGTTTCAGCAAGTCAATGTGGCTTCTCTGTGGGGGTCCCAAGGCAGCTGTGGACCCTAGTGGAGCATCCTAATAGGCTGTATATGGTGTCCTCACTCTAGGCCACAAAATGAAGGTATCAGGCCTAATCAAACCCAATAAAGGCTCACCTCACCACCATCCCAAGGCAGAGTGCAGAGTCGAGGGCCATCCCTGGAGGGAGTGGCTCTCAGACAGCCTGGTCCCAAGCAGACGACACCTCTCTGGGAAATGGCTTTCTAAATCTGGCACTTGGACAAGAAAGCTGACGAGGAGAGTGATGAGGCTGGCCTCTCCATGCAATGATTTATAGGACTGGGCACCACAGGGATCTTAGGAAACTGCAATGTTGAAGCTAAAAATGATTCATATTTTCCAGTATGTAAAACATGCTTATAGTCAACTCACTTGGAGCTAATGGCAAATAAGTTGCCAGAAAATCAGACTCTGACATAAATCAAACAATGCTGCACTGTGCAGGACGTCAAGAGCAGAGGTGAAATCCACGCAGGCCTGAGGTCCCCACCTCTCTGCACCTCACCCTCCAGCAACTGAGCCCAAGCACATCACCTCACTGGGACAACACAACAGTCCTCACTGCTGTCAGCAATAGCTTAGCATGTTCGGGAAGCCATTACAATGACCATTTACAAACTTCAAAAATGCTCTTCTATCCAGACCATCAGTAGAGAAAGCAGGAATAATAAGTTATCTGTTAATTACCTGTGTCTTGGCAAGTAATCTTGAAAAATAATGCTAGAAAGGCATTAACACAAAAGGAAAAGGGAACACGTCCATTAGCAGAAACCCACTGTTCTTTTCAATGTGTCTCCCACTCCCACAGCTTAGAGTGGGAGCTGGCAAGTTATGGCCCACAGGCCAAATTCAGCCCACCACTTGGTTTTGTATGGCCCATCAACTAAGAATGGTTTCCACATTCTTAAATGGTTGGAAAAAAGAATCCATAGAAGTATAACGTTTCATGACATGTAAAAATGATAGGAAATTCAAATTTCAGTATCCATAAATAAAATTGTATTGGTGCACAGCCACGCCCATTTGTTTTTGTATTGTCTAGGGTTGCTTTTGCACAACAGCAGACTTGAGTAGTTCCAACAGACCGTATGGCCCACAAAGCCTAAAATACTTACTATCTGGTCCTTTATAGGAAAAGTCTGTCAACTCTAGGCTTAGAGTGTCATTGCTCCATGGGGCATAGTTGGCAGTGCCCAAATGCTTGATATTTTCCCTGTTAAGGGCTGAATTTTTGTGTCCCCCTCAAATTCATATGTTGAAATCCTAACCCTCAATGCAATGGTATTAGGAGGTAGGGCCTTTAGGAGATAATTAGGTCATGAGGGTAGAGCCCTCACTAGTGGGATTAGTGCCCCTAGGAGAAGACACACAAGAGCTTGCTTCCTCTCTCTGCTTTCTGCCACGTGAGGATACAAAAAGAAGTTGGCAGTTGGAAGAGGGTTCTCACCAGAACCCCACCACACCGGCACCCTGATCTCAGATTTCCAGCCTCCAGCACTGTGAGAATTAAATGTCTGTTGTTTATAAGTCACCTAGTTTAAGGTACTTTGTTATAGGAGCCCAAGCTGACTAAGACAGTCTTCAAATACTCCCCATGGCCTTGTCAGTGCCTAAATACCCCATTATTAGTCACTTCATTTTCAGTCATTAGCACCTTAGTGGGAACTAACTTATTAAGAACCACAACTTGGGAGTAGACCACAGGATTGGTCAGGGGTGGGAATTGGTAAGGAGGGTGGCTCAAGCTGATGGAACAGAAGGGCAGTGGAGGCCCATTTGCATTGTTTCACAGTATGCCTAGGCTTCATTAACTAACTATGGGGGTAGAGGGATCCTGGCCTGTGCTCCACGTGAGAGCAATTCTTTTAAGGTTCTCAGAACTTTCATGACGGTTTGTCAATAACTGAGTAAATCTAGAAATCCCCCACTCAGTCATTTAGAGATGTTATTCTGGACCCAAATGCCCAGGCATTCCAGCGGAATGGGGTGTTCTACAGGACCCAAAGGCAAGGCATGGAGGTTTCAGTACAAGCCATAGAACCTTAGATGTCTCTAGGGCTGACTTGTTACCCTAAACCTGATCACTCAATTTCCTCTTTGTTTCTTATCCCTTGCCTCATCTCCAGGCTGAGAGGGGTGGCCTGAGTTGGAGATGAAACACTCAAAGTAGCAACAAGCGAAAGAGCCCTCTGTCTACTCTGAACCCATTCCACATTCTCAGATTCCCGGGCCTTGAAAAGCTGGGTGGGGCTCAGGAGCTGCAGAGCCCCAGAAGCTTATCTGTGGTTTGGAGACCCCAAGAGCCCAGCCAAGGACAAGAGTCACCCAGTTACACATTAGAGTTCTGGGTATCCAAAGGGTGTGGAACGACACCCCAAATCATAGAGCCAACAACTCTATGAATGGCGAAAAGAATAAGCACACGCAAAGAGAAGACAAAAACGTCACATCTAAATTGGGCAGAGCAGGTGGAGAAATTTGGGAGAAAGCTGGCACATTCAGGCTACATTTACTGGATTTAGGAAAATCAATTTGAATTCTGTGACTCTGGTATCATCTTCTTAACTGCATCAGCAGAACCTTAAACAGAGCAATGACTTCTTCCTTCCTCAGTTACCCTTTTGGCCAGAATGTTTAGTCTAGGAGGAATTAACAAGTTGCTAGAACAAGAAAGGGAAGTCACGAGGGGTGGGGAAGGGGGTTGAGACATATCACATCCAGCGGCACCAATCTCCCGGCTGTTCTTCCTGGCAGTCAGCTCATCCTGCTGCATGCAATAGGTCACAGGAATGAGGGTGCCGTCACGTCGCTCCCTGCACAACCGAGATGTGATTATTCAGAGCTGGGAGGCAGGAAGATAGAGACTGCACATCTCCTTTTGGCCTAACAGAAAAGTGTTCAAGCATCCTTACTGCTCAGGTTTATCCAGCAGCTTCAATTCTTCTTCTTTGGATGTCTCGTAATACTTTCTTATTTTAACCAATTCATCCTCTTGGGCTCTCTGCGTGGAAATAGAAACAAAACAAAACACAAAAGAAGGAGTGATGAGAATCTGTCTCAAGCAATGTGTCTCAAAGTGTGGTCTAAGGGGCAGCAGCATCAGCATCACCTGTCACTAGTTAGAAATGCAAATTATTGGCTCTACCCCAGACATAAGAAACTCCAGCGGTGGGGCCCTGCAAGCCCTCCAGGTGATTCTGATGCATGCTAACATTTGAGAATCACTGGCTAATACAAATGGTGTATTTGTATATGCAACATAACCACAAGTGACCTTAGCCAGGTACAGAAGCCAGAACATTTGATTGTTCCCTTTGAGTTCCCTATCTCTTCCCCAGTAAGCAAATATGGGTCAAGTTGTCCTTAGCATTTGCTGCCTGACCCTCAGAAGAGCCCTCCTAACTTAAAAGGGCTCCTGACTTTTTTATTTTTAGTCACCTTCCTCTCTTTTCCTGAATTTTGTAAGAACGCATTGTCTGTACTGCTTATTTTGGCATTTAGTCACATACTTTGTCTATTTATCCAACTATTTCAGTTGTATGTGGCTTAGCTCTACTGAGAGCTAACAGGTACCGACCATGTGCACAGTCCTTAGCCCATGGTAACAACAAGAAGCATCTAGAAGGCACTTTGCCTTTTACAAAGTCCTTCAACAACAATTATTGTATCCTCCTTTGACAGATGATTCCACCAAGGCTGACACCAAGTAGCTGGCAAATGGCCTGGGAATCTCTCTTTCTTTCATAACACCATGCTGGTCTCCAGGTAGTCAAAAAATGCACAATTAGCTCCCAATGGCCGGGTATTTGTGTGCCTTCTTGTCTGTTAATGAAAGCCTTACTGATGGAAACATGAGAAATTCCCACCCAGTCACACTAAATAGCTCCTGTTATAAGTAAAGGATGTAAAAATGTGTAGGGAGCAGGCAATCTCTCTAGGCCTGGATTATCACTCTATGGAAATTTTCTATAAGTGACTTAAGGTCCCAGGGGGCATAAGTATTGCAGTGAATCATTTTTTGAGCTCGGTGAGCATAGCATACTATAGAGCTCCAGGAAGCTTCCTGGGAAATACCATTACTTCAGTAAAGGGAGGCTGGTTCAATCTATGTTTTCAAATCCTAACAGAGTCAGTGAACCAGAACAGTTAACAGTTATGGGAATTCTGACTCTCCTGTGTCATCTTCTCAGGACAGCCTGCCAATTCTTCTGGTTATTTCCACATATAACCCCAATTTAAAGACCACATATGTGTACAGCGCTGTTTATTTTCAAAATACATTGCTACTGCTACATATATTGAATTCTCTTTTAATACTCACACAAAACCAGGTAGAGCCAATTATAATCCCCATTGTATTGATGAGCAAACAGGCTTAAGGAGTTTTAGTAACAGGCCCAAGGTCACTCAGCAGTCAGTGGTAGAGCTGGACTTCAAACCTAAGACTGACTGTCTGACTCTAAATCTAAAACACATACTCAGCATCCTATATTACTTCTCACATTCAATGCCATCAGCTCATTTGGACTAAAGGTAATTATCCAAGCTGGTATTAGCATTCCCATTCCTCAGAGGAAGACACTGGTGTACACCAACATTAAGCAAGTAGCTTATCCTCATTCCCTCTGACAGAGAGCCACAGGCTGAGTTCTGCGGCATAGAAGTGGTCTCCACCTTGAACTACCCTCCACTGCAGGTGTGCAATGAGATCTCCTAACCCAGATACCACAGTAGGGGTATCTGGTGCTTTGCTCATGTCTGCTTTCTTGAGCTTGTGCTTCTGTGCCTTCATCTCCTCCATGCTATGTCAAAAACCTTGTTGCCAAAGAACATGAATGGCTCAGTGATTTTTCGGGTGGAAGGAGTCACATACAACCATTTGTTAGACCTTAACATTTTTTCAGTTAGTAAAGATATGAAAATATGGAAATTCTGGCTCTGTAGGTCTTTGATACTCACATTTTCATATAAGGCCGCCAGGGTCTCCAGATCAACCACAGAGTCATCCACATTGAAAATGGCTGCCGAGCACCCAAAAAGAAAGAGAGAAAAAAACAAGGGGTTTGACTAGACTCCCCACACCAGCATTTACTCCAGGTCTAGCTTCTAAGCAGTACAGTCATGAGTTGCTTAACGACGGGGATACGTTCTGAGAAACGCATTGTTAGGCAATTTCATCAGCGTGCAGACTTCCTAGACTGTACCTACACAAACCTAGATGGTATAGCCTTCTGGAGGCTTACTACACACCTAGGCTGTACGGTACTGATCTTACGGGAGCACTATCACATCGGTGGTCCATTGTTGACCGAAACGTCTTTATGACTGTATAACATTGCACTTACTTTCAGCATGCCCCTGCTCCCTTTTGTTTTGCACCAACGGGGCCCCAACGAAAGAAACCAAAATGGTTCCTATTGCTGGCCTGAGCCTTGGCCCTGCCTAGTTTAATTCCTCAAGCTCAGTGTCCTTTCTGCAGTTTAATTTAGGCTCCACAGGAGAAGTGTTTGTGCTTTAAAACTAAATCAGTTTGTAGGTTTGAGGCCCAATTTTAAATCTTTCTTCCCGGCTGGTAATTGAAGAGATTTAGTACCTAATGCACCAGAACTGACTCTTGCCCATTACCAGGAAGAGAGAAAGAAAAAAGACAATGTTGGCAAATTAAATGAATTCAGGCATGTGATTTCAGGCACCTTACCATGGCCACTGCAAACATATTGTTTGGATTAAAAAGACAAAAAAAGGCAATAATTGCATCAATGGCATATTAAGATTATGGAAACCTCCCATGAGCCAGTCTTAAGGCAAGTTCTCATTCCCATGGTTTTATTAGGATTCTACTTGTTGTTCTGTATCTTTAAATCATTTAGCTGTTAACTAATAAGCTTAAGATTTCATCTAGAGAAATTCTTTCCCATCTATACTGAGATACAAACATTGAGATTTTTAAAGCCTTAATGGATTTGGCAATGAAAGTGTTTGAAATAGGCAGCTCCACATCTTTAAATAATTATTCAAAACTAATAAGGTTTGTTCCTTCAAACCCACCTCCCTTCTCTGACTTTACATTGTGAAATTAACCAGCACACTAGTAAATTTTCTCCGTGGCAGGCTAATTCATTTTATTAAACCAACCAGTGATATTTAGAATGCCTTAAAATTTTGCTCGTCAACCATTAGTCTGTTCGTTGGCATTACACCACGGTTTTCGGAGAAGGTAGGGATCAACGTAAAGGGCAAGTTGCTGTCAAACTGTTGTGCTTCTTCTGTAGATTAGAATCACATGAACCCCTTTATACACTCTTAACAAAGTTAATTAACTGAGCTAAGATCATGTAACTTCACAGAACACTGAGAAATGTACTTAAAATTCCTTCACACGCACCTTCTCTAACTTAGGAGGTAATCAGCAAGCTACTTCTAGATCGGTGGGGTAGTGAGAAGAGAAGAGGTTACTATGCTAGTGACAAAGTAAGTCGTCTCAGATTCCACCAAGACAAAGGAAAATTACACTTCTGAAAAGACCAATCTGAGACTACAAAAGAAAAAGGTAGTTCAAGGAAAGAATGAAAGAATTTATCCTCCCAGGACTGCTATTTTGTACATGGAGATAATATGAATTCACTAACTTATTAGATAGATCAGGCATTTTTAAATGTCTGGTGCTTTAAAAAACAAGAACAAAATAGCCAGAAACAAAGTCTATGTCATATAAATTCAAACATTCTCCTACAAAAGTCAGCCAACGTGGATGTAATAAGAAAAGGTAAAATTCTAACAACCGTTTATCAGAAATGTCCATTTCTCAACTAATCATACATCCTACGTACTATATATGAACTAGTAGCTTAGATATAATCAAGTAATCTTAACTAATGGGAAAGAGAATGATCTTGGGCAAATATTTGGTTTTTACAAGTTAATCAGTCTGGGTCCCAGATACACAGTTTGACAGGTTATATGGTCAGCCAAGTCCCCTGCAGTGTGCTAGGTAGCAGGAAGAAAACATGTGGGAGGATGAGACCAGAGAACAAGCATGAGACATTTATTCCTACATTCACCTATCGCTTGAATGAATATTTGTTGATGGTGTATTAAGTTCCAGAAACTTCTAAAATGCTGTGAATATACTGTCAAAAGGGTATAAGACATTCAAAGTACTTGATCTTATGAAATTTACACTCTAGCTTAAGGGATAGAAAATAAACAAGTAAATAATTTCAGATAATGAGATACTAGGAAGAAAGTGAAGTAGAGAAATGAGCAACATTAGGTAGGATGGTCAGTGAAAGCTTCTTTGAGGAGGTGACATTTAAGCTAGGAGCTGAAGAGGTCAGTTCTGTGAATGTCTAGGAGAAAAGCATTCCAGGGAGAAGTAACTGGGAAAGCAAGTTCCTTTTTCTGATGAAGGAACAAGCTCAAAGATTAGAAAAAGATCAAGATGACTGTTATGGAGGGAGCAAAACTTCCCATGTGATCCTGGCAAGTTAAACTGTCTGAGCCTCAGCATATCCATAAAACGGGGCTAATACCACTTACTGAAAATATTAAGTGAGGTAATTTGTATGCTTGGCATAGTGCATAGAGCACAGTATGAACTCAAAATCATACCGCTGAACTATGACTATTACAATTTTAAATAGACACATTGTTAATGTGTGTTAATGCTTGTTTTTGCCTTATCTCCTTTAACATCTGGAAAGAATTAGAGATAGAAGACTACAACTACCGAGTAGTTTGTGCTACAAATGAAGCTTTCCAGAATTCTTGAGTGTTTCAGATACGAATAGTTGCTATTAAACCTTTTCGGTCCTTCAAAACCTGTTCGACGCCCAACTTCAGGAAGCATTATTAATAGAAAAGGTACATGCACAAATAACTCTAATTACAAAAATAAGGTACCAAATGTCTTAAGGGAAATTTAAGATACTTCGGAGTCGGGCTGGCCCCGTGGCTTAGCGGTTAGGTGCGCGTGCTCCACTGCGGGCGGCCCGGGTTCAGATCCCGGGCGCGCACCGACGCACCACTTCTCCGGCCATGCTGAGGCCGTGTCCCACATACAGCAACTAGAAGGATGTGCAGCTATGACATACAACTATCTACGGTGGCTTTGGGGGGAAAAAGAAATAAATAAAATCTTTAAAAAAAAAAAAGATACTTTGGAGTCCATTCAGAAAGTTAACCTAATTTTTATCTCTAATTTCCATCTTTCTCATCAATCTACCCTTCATCATACCCCCGAAGTTATTTTTTTAAAACATGGGTCTCCAAATTTTACTCTGATGTTTAAAATACCTCAGATGTCTTTCCTTTAACTATTGGGTGAAGTCCAAATGCCTTGGTCTGATTTTTAAGCCCATCCTTTCCTGGCCCCAAGCCAGACTTCCAATCTCATCACCTACCACTTCCACTTGTCCCATGTACCCTGTGCTCCAGCCACATTGAGCAACTTCCATTCCTGAATGTGCTATGGCTTCCTGCCTTTCCACACCTCATCCTCCAAGGCTCAGGTGGAAGCTTTCCTGCCCTGGAAGGACACCCCTTGACCTTCGGATTATTAAGTGCTCGCTCTTTTTTCCTCTTCCATGGCATTGCACTCATACTTTACAAAGGGTGAGGGGAGTCTACGTTAAGAACCTGTATTATGGTACATTGCATAACAGTTTCCCTCCCACACTGGATTGTGAAAGCCCTGTAGTCAGGGATCATTTCTACGCATCTTGATAACCTCAGCACCCACCATAGTACCTGGGGTGTAAGAGGAATAAAATAAATGTCTGTGGATGGGATGGATGCTACGGGAACCCCAAAGAGCGAGTCCTTCTGCTGGGTATCAGAAAAAGTTCCTTGATAAAGACAGCATGGGGCCTTGAAAAAGAAAAGACACACTTTATTTTTTTATTTATTTATTTTTTTATTTTTTTTAAAGATTTTATTTATTTTTTGCCCCCAAAGCCCCAGTAGATAGTTGTATGTCACAGCTGCACACCCTTCTAGTTGCTGTATGTGGGACTCGGCCTCAGGCTGGACAGAGAAGTGGTGCCTCGATGCGCACCCGGGATCCGAACCCGGGCCGCCAGCATCGCAGCGCGCGCACTTAACCACCAAGCCACAGGGCCGGCCAAGACACACTTTAAAAAGAAATACGATTTTGACAGATGAAAATATTATATTATGAGGGAGGGTATATCTGAATTAAAGTTGTTTACCCATCCCCATTTGCCCCTATTTAAAAAATCTAGGTTTAGCCAGTAGAGGTGCATGATCATGCCCCACCCACACACTCAGTATAGATACACTGCTTACCTGAATATTCCATACCAAAAAATAAGGAACTTGAACAAGTGAATTTTCTCATTAATAAGGAAATTTTCTTTCCCCTCATTCTTAACCTTCAAAAATGGTTTACATAGCACTATCACTTTAGGAAAAAAGGTTATGTGTAAAAATTCAACCGTTATGTTGCCTCAGGCAGACACCTGAAACACTCATTTATTAATCACCATTAATTAAGCCAAATTCATTCCAAGCAATGACAATCTGTAAATTTACAAGTGCCAGTGAACATCAACTGGAAGGATGTGAGACATTCCAGTGGAAGCATCAGATGCAGATGGGCTCATGGAACGTGCAGGCAAAGGCAGGTAGGTAGTTCCATTTTGGCTTGAAGAGAGCATTAATTAGAGTTTGGAGGAAGAGCATGTGGAATTCTGAATGCCACGATGAAGAGCCTATAACACACTTGATACACGGCAGGGAGGCATCAAGCAGTTACGAGTAGGAGAGTAAATTGGACAGAGTTATATTACACAGGACAGGCCAAAATTTGGAAAGACTGGTTTAGAACCTATTCCAGTGGGCAAGAGCTGGCAAAAACCTGAGTACTGTGGACAGAAAGAACAGGACAGAGGAGAAAGACACTGCAGAGCACTACAGGGTGACACCACTAGCTCTGGGACTGAGGAAACTGGACTCGAAGCCCACTCTGAGGCTTTCTGCTACCCACAGAAACAGGTGCAGG